GCATCTGACAATTCAGAGAAGAGAGGGCACCCTCTCGGTTTAATTTCTGCTGGCACTTTGGGTGAATTAGGGCATCATGAACTTCAAAAGCCTGCATTATGGCTCTCAGCAATTTCCTATGCAGGGCATGTGCCCTGCAAACCCTCTGAAGGTACTGTGAGGGAGATGGGCACCCTGCCTGCAGGAGCACTGGGAACAGCTAGCCCTCGAGAGACCTCCCCTTATGTTCAAGGCTAAAGAAACCCAGCCAACAAGCACCAAGGCAACATCTTTTCTCTGCTCTTACTGTGCTCCTTCCTTGGCTTTTCTGCTAATGCTGTTAGCTCCCAGCCTCCTTGCTCCTCGCAGCCTGGGGTATAAATCCGGCCGATGCTCCTGCTCCTGCAGCACCAGATCGCAGAGGAAGAATCACTGTGCCCTCTGCCTGCTTTCTTTTAGTGCAGCAGTGTGGAGCAGGACACCGTTCAGCCCAAAGAGAGCCATTCATACCGAATTTTTCAGCTGAGTTGTTTTGTTGTTCTTCTGAGCTCTCTTTCAGCATTATCCCATTAAAACTGCCTGAGATCCGAGTTTTTCACTGGCTCGAATTAGGTGGTAATTAATCCACCAGACAGTTTCATGACGATGCTTTCCAAAATGAGAACATCCAGCAATAAAATACAAGCTTGTGCTGTGCAGCAGTGAATAGACTGCACACCAGTCCCTCACAGCGTACACAGTCTGCCTGGCCATCCCCAGGGCTACGGACAGGGAGGAGAGGAACAAGACTGAGGTGAACATGGAATATATTTTGGGGCACTTTTTTGTAGATAGACGGAGAAGGTAACGGTGAAGGATCTTTTTTGAGACAATGACTTGAAAGAATGTGTTAATTTCATATAGAATATTTAGGATGCAAATTTTGCAATGAGAATCGTCTCCGTTCTCACAACAGATGATACATTTTAAAAGTAGTAGCAACTGTGAGATGAGTCAAAGTTAGAAGGAATCAGCACCTCCCAGGAGGTGCTCTCCCCCACTCCCCTCAGCCAAAGCCCTAACGCTCCCTGTTCCGGCACGGACCTGCTCCCCAAAACTCCATTACCCGAAAGTTGTCTTTCTGCCAAAAGCATTTCAGTGCTGTGGTGGGCAACACATATTTTATTCTGGTCTGTGACTCAGAATGGCCATCTTTTATTGCCAGATGTGAGTTGATTTCCATTTATACGGCCTTTCTAACTGCTTAATTACACTGACAAAACATGATGGCAAAACAGAAACTGCAACTGACTGGTTGAACAATTTCAGAGAACCTCTGTCAGGTTGACAGG